CCGGCCAGCTCCGCCCCTGCCCCGCGGGCTGGCCCCAAAGGGCTGCCGGACCCTAGGACCCGAGGCGAACCTGTCTCGCTAGAAGCCGGACCTTGGCGAGTCGATGGTTCAAGGTAGCTGCTTCCCTTCCTTGTGTCCTCGTCCACCTGCTCCAGCCATGTGTGCAGCGGAGTTGTCGCTCTGGTCTTCAAAACTAGGTGACAGAACGGTGGAAAAGTCCGAAGTGTTCCATGTTTGCAGGAGTCAGAGACCAGGCCCCCGGGGACTCTGATTTCCAGCGTTGTGCGAGTGTGGGGCATAACTGTGGGAAGTGTTGCCTGAGGAGAACTCGTTTCATCGGTGGGGCTTCTAGATGGGTGAGGAGGGACAGATTTTACTTTTGTTACTCATTTGTTTTTCCTGTCATGAACTGGATGAAGAATCAACCTACTGAGGGTCTCCACAGAGGTAAGAAGCCGCCAGTATTGTGCCAGTGCCCACTATCCTGTGGATCTCAGGTGACCTCAAAGGCCCGTCGGTAAAGGCCTGACCCAGTCTGTGGACCTGTGGGGAGATGGGGGAAGCTTTAATAGGTGGCGCCTATGAGAGGAAATTAGGTCATTGGGTGTCCTCGGAAAGGGATGATGGGATTGGTCTCTTTCTGTCTCTCCGCTTCCCTGTGGCCAAGAGAGTAGCAGGTTGCCTCCGTCTTGAGCTCCCACCGTGACACACACACTGTGCCATCTTTGGGCCAAGTGACCACACACTTGTCAGCCACAGTGAAAACCCTTCCCTCCTTTACGAATTGATATTACAGGTATTTGTCACAGTGATGGAAAGCTAACACAGCTCCCACCCCTGCCTTTAGAGAGAAACACACAAAAGGTTACCCTTGTTTGATCCTAAACTTGGCGGAAATGTCAGATAAATAGGTATGTACTGCATAGCGGTGTAGGCAATCTTCTAGACATGTCTTTTTAGACTACACTTACGTTGAGTGTTGGGACACCAGTCTCACTCCTGGATAGCAGTAAGATACCTGGTGTGGTCATCTCTGAGGACACAAAGCAGCAACAGAAATAAAGTTTAAAGTATTGAACATTTATTGTGTGCTGTGTGTGATTCTAAGCAGATTACGTATGAGGTGTGATTGAAATATATGGTGAATGTTTGAATTTTAGAAAATTTATTTATTTATTCATTTATTTATGTTTTTTTGGGGGGGTAGTTTGAGACAGGGTCTCACTATGTAGTTGAGACTGACCTGGAACTCACTATGTAGCCCAGGCTGGTCTTGAGCTCACAATGATCCTCCTGCCTCAGCCTCTGTAGTGCTGGGATTACAGGCATGTGCCACCACACCCGGCTAGAAAATTTATGATAGTAAAAGACACATTGCCATTAGCCTCCCTTAGACTACTCCCCCCATTCAAACACTTATATACATAATTTATGGAAAAATCATAATTTAATATTTCAATAAATTATGTATATGAAATCATTTAAATTTTACAAATTTATGGGATACCATGTGCTTATTCAATACATACAATGTGTGATGATAAAATAGGATAGTTAACATTTTTTTTATAGAATTAGAAAAATTTTTGCAAATTACTCACTAGACAAAGGATTAATATCTAAAATATATAAGGAACTTAAACTCAATAACAAAAACAAATCATTCAATTAAGAATGGGCAAAAATATAAATAGATACATCTATCTAGATGGTGAAGAAATTCAAATGTTCAGGAAATTTATGAAAAAAAATGTTCAGCTTCATTGGCCCTCAGAAAAATGTAAGTCAAAACCATAATGAGTTATCATCTTACTTCAGTTAGAATGGCTTTTAGCAAAAAGACAAAAAATAACAAATACCGGTGAGAATGCAAAGAAGGGGAAACTTAACACATCACTGATGGAAATGACAACATAAGGGTTCCTTTTCTATTAGTTTAAGAAGCAAATACAAGTTAACACTATAAATATATCACACCAAATTATTTTTCCTACATTTTTACTATTCTAATCCTTGGTTTAATTTTAGAAATTTAGAAAAAAATAAGATTAAATAAAGATGGTTGGGATATTTATATTTTCTGTGTAGGGAAGCAATTTATGAATTTCATAATTAATTAAAGATATTAATCCTGGAGCACTTAATCTTAAATTTATTTGAGGTGTGTATTTGAGATAAATAATTGATTGTGAATATAAAATAATTTATTTAAACCTATTATAAGGTTTGTGTGACTCTAACTTACTAATCTTTGAAAGAGATTCAGTGGTCCATTATGTAGATATGGATTTTTGTCTCTAGAAGATTAGGGGGCCTTTTCTGTTTTTATTAAAATTTTAAATCAGATTTATATTAGTTATCTTTTAGCCTCTAAAGGATGTTATATATTTTGTAAACCAGCTATAAAGGAAAAGAGATATGGATTTTTAAGCATGTTAAGATATAAAACATTTCAGAACATCCTTAAGAATAAAGTGCCATATTACAAGTACAGTGGTACCTTGGTTCATGAACTTAATTTTTTCACAATTCTGGTGGCAAGTTGATTTGGTCCTCATAAGATCAACATTGAACGCAACCATTGAATTTGATTCGGTACACAACCAATTCGGTCATGACCAGAGCCGTGGAATTATTCTTTTTGCAGTCAGACATTTCTAAAAGTCAGTGTTTTCTGTCTTATGATGTTTGCTTGAATCCACTACATCAGTGTAGCCTGGAGGGTCCTACTCTAGTAAATATCACAGTCATGGAAATTCTTGTTGCCATGAGCTGAAATTCTTGTCTGAGTACAGGCAGTGCTGAATTTAACAATGAATTTATTTGTACAACTTGGAAAAAGTAGTATGTGTAAACATGATCTTAATCTTCCTGAAAGCATCATTTAAAATAGAGAATTGTATTCTTGAAGGTGTAAAAATAGTGCATTTACTTATCTCTTCATGAATCACACTCACACTGTAAGGTATGTGTCTTTCCTGAGTATGTATGAATCAGTCAAGGCGCCATTAAGTCAAGAAGCAGCTGTAAGCAGTCGTGATCACTGAAAAATGCTTCCCAAGGTAGGAAGGAGTGCAGCGGATGAGGACAGTAACAAGGAGGCAGGGGCTGAGGCTTTTAGACTGCAGAGTGGTAGCACACTGCTTCCTCATCATTGCTGCCTCACGAGCCCCATTTTGGGGGATTTTGGATAGTTTTGCCTCATGAACAAAAGTCATTCATTAATGGTTAATTTATCTCCTCACTTTTAAAAAGTCAAAGAACTATCTTACTATAAATTAGCACTTTTGATCAGCAAAATAACTATTTCCCTGCTGGAATGATGTGATTCTAGCTGAAGTGAATAAAATTTACATGCTGTTTTGGGTGGCTTTTCACAGGTAAATGAATAATCTCCTTAGACTTTGTGAAATATTTAAAATTCACTCCCCCATCCCTTCTTACTTCTTCAAGGAAACCAAGAGATGAGAGTTTGGAAATCTTTGTTCTAGATGTTTTCAGAAAGAGATGGACAGGGGTTTGTATGGAATCAGATATAAGTATTCGTTAGTTCAAGGAATAAAATTACTATAAGCCGGACAATTTCCTTTGCATCTCTCAAAGGTAGATGCTTACTTTTTTTTTCTCTCAGTGAATTGACCCCTTTGACATTAAATAATGATCTCTATCTCTTGCAACAATTTTTGACTTGAAGTCTGTTTTATCAGAAATAAGTGTAGAGGCTGGGGATTTAGCTCAGTGGTTCCACCGCCTGCCTCACAAGCGCAAACTCCCGAGTTCAATCCCTGGTACCAAAAAAAGAAAAAAGAAATAAATATAGCTACTCCTGCTTTCCTTTGGTTGCCATTTGCATGGAATATCTTCTTCTGTCCTTTCACTTTCAGCCTATGAATGTCCTTAAAGCTTAAATGGGTCTCTTTGCAGGCAGCATGTAGTTGGATCTTGGCTTCTTTTTTTCTCAGTTTATTCAGTTGCTTTGACTGGAGAATTTAATCTACTTCTATTCAAGGTTTTTTGATAGGTAAGGATGTACTAGTGCCATTTTGTTGTGTTCTGGTTGTTTGGTAGCTCCTTTGTTTCTTTTTTTTCTTGTCTACCTTTGTGATTTGATAATTTTCTGTTGTGCTAAGCTTTGATATCTTTCTCTTTATTGTTTGTACATCTGCTGTCATTTCTTGTATTGTGGTTACATGAGATTTATATAAAATATTTTACAGTTATTATCTATTTTAAACTGGTAATAATTTGTGTCACAAACAGAAACTAGGCTTCTATCTTTCCCTTCACAACTTATGTTTTTGATTTCACAATTTACATAGCTCAGTGATTATAGCTTTAGGTATTTTTGATTGTTTTTATTTTAACTTTCATACTAGAGACATATATGATTTGTATGCCACCATTATAGTATTGAAATATTCTGAATTTAAATTTGTATATATACATATATATGTACATATATATACGTATATATATACATATATACATATTTATACATATATATATGAGTCTTATATTTTCATGTCTTCATGTTATTTTTGTATTTTCATATGTCTCCATGTTAGTAATAACTGTTCTTTTATTTCTGCTCAGAGAGCCCCATTAACATTTCTTATAACATGGGTCCAGCAGTACTGAATTCTCTTACCTTTTGCTTGTCTGTGAAAAACTTTATTTCTTCTTCATTTCTGAATGACACTCTGACTGGGTATATTATTTTTGGATGGTAGGTTTTTTTTTTTCTTTCAGCACTTTGACTATATCACTAGTCTTTCCTTGTTTTCAAGGTTTCTGGTGAGAAATTCACTGATTCTCTAATGAGAATTTCTTTTTACATGACTTGGTGCTTTACTGCTTTTAAAATTCTGTCTTTGACTTTTGACAGCTTGATTATAATATAACTCAGAGAGGACCTCTTTTGGTTGAATTTATTTGAGGACCTTTGAGCTTCATCAAGCAGGCAGTCCCTCTCCCTCCCTCCCTCCCCCCCTTCTAGTACTCCCACCATGCAAATATTTATTAACTTAATCATAGCTCACAAGTCCCAGAGGCTCTTTACCCTTTTTTCTTTCCGCCACCCAACTCAATTATTTCAAAAGACCTATCTTTAAGTTCACAAATTCTTTCTTTTGCTTAATCAACTCTATTGTTGAAACTCTAAATTTTATATTTCATGAAATTCACTGGGTTTCTCAGTTCTAGGATTTCTGTTTGGTTCTTTTTTATGATATCTTTTTCTGTTATGCTTCTCATTCAGATTATGAATTGTCTTCCCAATTTTCCTTAACTAGGTCCCATCTCCTATTTCTATCACCTCCCAATAATTTCATTGAGTTACCTATTTGTATTCTTGTGTGTCTTGTGGAATTTCTATGAGATCATTGTTTTGAATTCCCTTTCTAACGACTCATAAATTTTTGTTTGTTGGGGCTCAGTTCCTGGAGAAT